CCCCCCCCCCCCCCCCCCCCCCCCGCCATTTAACAGCGGAGGGACCCATTTTTCTCCAGCTTAGGGAGACCCGACAAGGGCCAGGTCAGAGGATCGAGCAGCGAAAAGGCCTAGGCCCCGCATCACCCAGGAAGTTGGCCCTGCACCCCTCCCAGGCTCGCCAAGTCTCAATCTGTAGGCCCGACACGGAGCGAGGGTACAGGTTCTCGGGCAGCCTTGCGCCAGCCGTCCCACACAGCTGCCCAGGTCACCGCATCCCTGACCCAGGCCTCCGGCGAGGGAGGGCCTACCTTGTCCAGGGCTACGTGTGTACCTGCGTGCGAGGTTCGAAGTTTCCTGGGGGCGGCGACTCTGTGGCTCCTCACTCGTCTCTAGTTTGCGCCCGCCAGAAATCCTTCATGAAAAGGTTTCCTCTAGAGTTGCTCGTCGCTGCACTTGGCACGTTCCACCCGGGCCCACAACCCTGTTCCCAGGTAACGCCCTGGAGGGGTTTCTCATTCTGAGAATGGGTGCCCTCCTTGGCCTCAGCGGTGAGGAAGGAGCGCCCACCCGGCTCCCTCCCCTATGGGTTTCCGGGAGCAAGTCCTTGCAGGGCCTCCCAGTTTCCTACCAGGGCAGCCTCACCAGGACATGGCGGGGCCTGGGGTGCCCGATCACCCAGGACCCCAGAGGCGATTGGCAGGTCATTCAGTGAAGCCTTACAGCCTCCTCATACAGCCCACCTGCAGGCCAGTCCAAGTCCCACTTGGCCTGACGCACATCTTGCTTTCACAGGGCATGGAGCAGAGAGTCCTGGATCTCAGGTGTGAGGGTTCACTGGAGTCCTGGGCCTCCTCGTTGCCCAAGAAATACCTCTGGCAGCAGACAGCCTTCCCTCTGAGGTGGCAGGGGCTCCAGGAGCACCCTCTGGGTACAAACAAATCAACGGGCTCAACCTGAGGTCAGCGGCCTTTCCTATCCACTGGCTATGCCCCTCCTGCTGGCTCACCCTTCTGCCCCACCACCACCATTGACGAGCAGCCATCCATGTTCTTGGCAGGCTGGGCTACCCTGTAGGTAGGTGTCTTGGTGTAACCCAGTGCGGTGGTTACCCTAATAGGGCTGGAGAGCCCCTCATGCATGCCATCAGCAGCTGGCCTCAGTCAGTCAGGACAAGCCCTGTCTCCCACCCAGTCTGGGTCTCCCAGAACATTTATCTGTGTATCCCACTGCCCCTGGCGGAATACACAGCAGGCGTCCGGGGGCAGGCAAAGCTAAGCCTTCCTGAGTAAACCCCGTTGCTGTCTCACAGCGACCCAATGTGACAGAGTAGAACTGCCCCATAAGGTTTCCAAGGCTTTAAATCTTTACAGAAGCAGATTGCCACAGCTTTCTCCCGCATAGAAGAGCGGCTGCTGGGTTCCAACCGCCGACCTTTCAGTTAGCAGCCTATGCCACCAAGGCAACCCCTGTGGCCGAGCACACTGCGGGCGTCGGGGGCCAGGCAGAGCTGGGCTTTCCTGAGTATTGACCCCAAAAGGAGACAGCCCCGCGCGCGTCCTGAGTCACAGGAACCCTGGCACCACCTCCCCAGTTCCTCTCCCAGGCAGAGGGCGCAAGGCCTGCCACACGCGTGCACGTGTCCCGCGGGCTCACGTCTAGCGCCGACCCTAAGAACCAGGGGGTGACAGCGCGCCCCGCCTGCCGATTGGCGGAGGAGGAGATTGAAGGCTAAGCCTGCCAGTAAACCCGAGAGGCTGACCGCAGCGGCCAATGAGGAGTGACAGGTCGCGTTGGAGGCGGCTGCCCGCGCTCACGTCTCGGCCTCAAGCCGTCGGCCTGCAAGCGGCGGCAGGAGTGAGGCGACTGGAAGGTGGGCCGGGGGCCACGGGGGAGGACCGGCCAGGCTGGAGGCAGGGGAGCTGAGAGAAGCCGGACTGCGAGGGAACACGGCGCGCGCGGGCCGGGGGATGTGGGCGCCGGTTTCTGGCCGCTCTCGCTCAGGGGAAGAGGTCAGGACCTGAATTGCCCGGACAGCCCCAGTGCCCCGGGGTCCAGGGTGAGGTGTGGGCCCGGGGCACCAGGCGAGAGGGCAGAGTTAGGATGAGGAGGGCTTGGGGCCAAAGTGTGCAGGCGGGGCGGGTGTGGGGAGCCTTGAAGCCTGGTGGAATAAAGGCCGGTGTGGGTTAGAGTTTAGGAGGGGCCTCGGGCTGACCTTCGGGCAGAGTGCTACTGGCCAAGCAGGCCTGTGAGGGGCGTAGCCAGCAGAGTAGAGTTCATGAGAGGTGATGGTCAGCACCTGTGTTGCCCATTCTGTGGGAGGGAAAGTCGTGTCCACGGGCGGGTGGGGGCCCGCTGAAGAATTATCCCAGGCCTTAAGGAGGCCACCTCCATCCTTCCCCCACCCCCGTCAGAGTCCCCGAGGAGGCTAAACCGCCAGTCGGGGCTCTTCGGCTGAGGAGCCCTGTGGGAGAGGGGTGGGCGACCAGAGCCACGCTGAGACGGACACCCACCCAAGGGTAGATCCAGGGGTGGCGTCGGTGGAGTATTGGGGCAGGGGTATGTCAAAGGCAGCCCTGGGCTTGTGACCTTGGACAAGCTGTTCACCTCCCTGAGGATGAGATTCTTCATCTGTGAATAGGGCGGATGATACCTACCAGACCCGGGACAGCAAAGCGAAGTCACTCAGGGCCTGGCCCCCGGTGGGGAGGAGGGGGGAGAGGGGGAGAGACCCTGTCCCACACCAAGCGGCTCTCTAGTCTGACCATGGGGGATGCACACCACCCCTTGGGGCTACCCCGATGTGAGGTCACCCTGCACACACCACCGCTCACACCTGCTAGGCTGGGCAGGGTCCCTGGGTGGGAGAGCCTAAGCACTATGACCCCTGCTGACGCCAGGTACACCTTCACCCTGTCTCTGCTGCTGCTGGCAGTGCTCCCCGGAAGGGATGGCCCCTCCCACTGGAGGCCTCTCCAAGCAGCAGGCCCACAGCTCCACTGCTGTCCACCTCTCTGTAGTCCAGGGGACCTGACTACAGGCCTGTGGGACCTGTTCCTTGCCCCTGTCGGGGTGCTGGTAGCTGTGGTGACCCTGGGCTTACTGATGACCTAGTTTGACCTTGTGCAGTGCAATGGATTGCTTTTATACAGCCTTTCTAGGCATGGTCTTGTAACTCCCACCAAATGATTGGCTGGGACCATGCAAATAACGTGCTTGTGGCCCACCCAAGGAGACTGGACAGCTTGCCAATAATGCAAATAAGGTGCATGGCAATCTTGTGGGTTGGGACCATACAAATAAGGTGTATGGAAACTTAACAAGGGGGTTAGTCAGTTTTGCCATCCAACTAGGCTTAAAATGAGCCATCCCAGAGGTGGCAAGGGGAGGGCCTCACTACCACCAAGAAAGATGTGCTGGGAGTGGAGCGTGTCCTTTGGACCCAGGGTCCCTGCACTGAGAAGTTCCTAGACCCAGGAGACAGAGAGCTGTAACAGCAGAGATGGCACAAGACAGTGAGAAGCAACGGCCAAGGCAGCAGAGAGCCAGCAGCAGCAGAACGAGGGGACCAGCTGGGGACGGCACAGTGGGCTTCCCTGCCCGCAGAGCGAGGAAGCTGAGCACCTTCACTGGAGGCTTGCTGGCAGAGTGGGGTGCCTCTGGGTACTTGTCCGGTGTAGCTAGGCTTGCTGACCCTCGGAACTAGAGAGCTGAGTGCCTCTGTGCCGGGGCTTACTGGCAGAGTGGGGTGCCTCTGTGCATTTCCCGGTGGAGCTAAAGAGCTTTGGAACACTTGCCCGAGCAGGGAAGAGGTTGGGCCGGCCAGAGGGGCTGAGAGGCCGAGGGCCAAGAAACCAAGGGCCAGGGGGAGGCCTGCCTGTGGGCGCAGCTGAGAAGCTGTCCTGACGAAAGAACTGTATCCTGAATTGTTCCTGATCCTGAATTATATAACCTGTTACTTCCCTAATTGTCATGGATTGAATTGTGTCCCCCAGAAATATCTGTCAACTTGGCTAGGTCATGATTCCCAGTATTATATGATTGTCTACCATTTTGTAATCTGAGGTGATTTCCCTATGTGTTATAAATCCTATCACTATGATGAAATAAAATGGATTAGCGGCAGTTATATTGATGAAATCTACAAGATTAGATAGTGTCGTAAGCCAATGTGTTTTGAGACACAAAAGAGAGAAGCAAGCAGAGAGACAAGGGGACCTCATACCACCAAAAAAGCAATGCCAGGAGCAGAGCGCACCCTTGGGACCTGAGGTTCCTGCACTGAGATGCTCTCAGACCAAGGGAAGATTGACGACATGGACCTTCCCCCAGAGCCGACAGAGAGAGAAAGCCTTCCCCTGGACCTGATGCCTTGAATTTGGGCTTGTAGCCTACCAGACTGTGAGAAAATAAATTTTTCTTTGTTAAAGTCATCCACTTGTGGTATTTCTGTTATAGCAGCGCTAGGTAACTAAGACACTAATAAACTCCATAATCGTGAGTATTGTCTGTGAGTAGTGTGTGACCACTGCAAAGAATTAATGAACCCAGCAGAGAAGCGGAGAGTGCTGTGAGAGGGACTGCTGGGGTCAGAATTGGTAAAAAGGTTGGAGAGAGGAGGCATATCTGACCTCCACTTCACAGGAATCAGCTTTGGGCTGTTGATGCTGCTAATGATTCTCCCCCTCGTGAAGTTCGAGGTCAGACGCCCCCACCACACCACTTTTACACCTTACGTGCCCCAACACTTTAGGCCTTTCAGCTCCTGCCTGCTTACCTGGTCACTGGGGGTACTGCTGGCCGGGGTCCCAGCCCAGCACAGCCCTGCCCCTCATCTCCCCAACCCGGCTCATCCTGCTGGGAACCTGAGGGCTGTGGGTGGCTGCGAAGCCTCTCCGCCTACTGGGGGGCTCCTCCCGGAAACTGGCCCCAGCCAGCTGTCCACGCGGCCTCCTCAGGCAGTGGGGGAGTCTAGGGATCAGGATGTGGGCAGCAGGCTGAAGGGAAGGGCTGAGCCTTGCACCCTCTGCCATCCCAGATTCCTCCAAAGGTGGCCCTGAGGGCTTGCAGGCGGCTCCCAGGCCCACCCCAGGGTGAGCGGGGGAGCAGGCAGAGGGCTGTGGCTGCAGGCCCTGCTGGGCCTTACTTTGGCCATTCCACGTCGGCCCTAGCCGGACCCGACTTCCCTTAGCATCCCCAATTCCTGGCGGAGGATGGGTTCACCCGCCCCAGGAGAGATGGGAGAAGCTAAGCGCTCTGCGTTCGGACCTGTGCTCCAGTGGCCACGCCCCTGAAGCCCGCCCTCGGGACGGAAGAAGAAGAGCTCCCTCGCGGAAGGGAACATGGCGCCCCCTTGCGAAAGGCTGCGGAATGACCCCCGGGACTGGAGGAGCCCAACGCTGGGCCAGCACTCACCGCGCCTCCGGAGCCAGCAGGGCCCCGAAGACGCCCTCAAACTCCCCTCAGACGCCCCAGCGCCCCCTGCAGAGCGGGCCCAGCCCTGCACACATCAGCTTGACACGCAAGTTCTATCAAGAGTGGCATTTATTCTCCTTGTGGAGGTGCGGCGCTCCGGGGAGCTGGTGCTATTGTGCTTAGGAAGGAGGTCTGTCCGTCCGTCCGTCTGTCCGGCCGGCCCGGCCCCAAACGGGGGCGGAAGAGGGGCGCGGCCCGAGTAAAAATCCCGGCCTGTTCCGGGTGGGAGTATGTACAAGGCGGCGGGGCGCAGGCGGGGGTGAGGGGCGGAGCGGGCCGGCGGCCGCAACCCCCACCCGAGGGCCCCTGCATCTCGGGCCCTACTCATAGAATTAGTACAAAATAGGTGCTACCTAAACGTTCCTTCTACCTGAATTCGCTAAGTCGGTTATTGTGCTGCTTAGTTACGGGGGCGGGAGGGGGGCCCATGGCTTTCCACGGCGGTGGGGTGGGGGTGAGGGGCAGACCCTGGCCAGCCCACGGCCCTTCGGCCCTCTCCTTAGGTAGGCAGACAGGCGTGTGTGGGGGGGGGCGCCTGTGTGTGCGTGTGCATGCGGGGGTGCCCGGCCTAGACGGGCAGGCCCAGGTCGGGAGCTGTGTGGGCACCGCGCCTGGGGCTGTGGGGGATTCTGGATGTGGGCATCGCTGGGCTGGGCCCGAGTCCGCCCCCGCGGGAGCAGCCGGGGCGTGCCCACGGGGGAGGGCCGGCCAGATGTAAGCTCCAGCTCCCCTCCTCTCGCCCCAGTCCTGGCCTCTGCAGAGCCGCGGTAGCCCGGGGGCTCGGAACACTGGCCGCAGGTGTGGACCGCCGCGGAGGCGCGGGCAGCTGGGGCCCTGAGTCTGTCCCGCACATGGCACGCAAGGCCCAAGTCAAAGGTAGAGCCTGGCTGCGCCAACGCGGACCCGGGCTGGGGGCAGACAGCGGACACCCTCTGGGTCTGGGGACCTGGACTCCGCCCCTGCGGCGCTCCCTGGCCCACCCACGCCCGTCGGGCCGAGGTCGCTGCGGTCCCGTCGTGGACACGCCCCCCGCAGACCGCTGCAACCCTCATGGACTCAGCAGCGGGCCTGGCACATAGCAGGCGCCCAGTGAACGGTCGGTGAGGGACGGACGAGTGAAGAAGGGGTCTGGGGTGCAACCGCCCCGCCCCCACCCGGGAACCAATACACCCGCCGGGCTCCGCCGTGGGGGGAGGGGGAAGGCGGGGAAGAAAGTCTGCGCGTCCGGCCCCGCGCAGCGTCCCTGATCTAGGGGCCTATGGGGCGGGTAGGGTAGGGGATACCTGATTCTCAGTAACTCTAGAGGCGGCGGCAGCTTCGCATGCAGTGCGCATTATTGCTCTATAGTCGGCATCGGACTAACTAAGGGGGAGGGGAGCGGGCAGCCCCGGGAAGGGACGGGAGGAGGGGTGGTGCTGCATGCAGTGACGTCACAAGGCGGCGGCCAATGGGCGGGCCCTTGGGGGCGGGGTCGCCGCCGAGGCTTTGGCATAGACGGGCGAAAGTTGGCAACCGAGTGAGGGCGGGGCCCGAGGCTCCCAGGAGGCGGAGCCCAGGTGGGGGGTGGGGCTTGGGGCGGGGAGAATGATCCTGGACATCCCAAACCCCTGGCGTCGGCGGGAAGGATGAGGGGCTCAGCGCTCCCTCCCTGACCCGAGTGCAATCCGTTCATAAACAAAACGTACAAATACAGAAAGAAAGAAACCCGACGCGTCCGCAACCCCCCCGGGGAGCTTTACCCGCAAAGCGAATACAGAAAGGTGTGAAGAGGGCAGGGCCCAGGCCCGCCTGCCGGCCCCGGGTATCCGTCCTCCAACACCGAATGCCCAGGGTACAAGGGAGGGGACCCCGGGGCAGGGCGGGAGCGGGGTCTGAGGAGGTTGGATAAGTCCATGCGATTCGATATGCGTCATTATTATTCGTTATGGAGGACAGAGCCTGGGAAGCTGGGCTGGAAGAATTCTGATTTGGCAGAGGATGCGAGGAGAGGGTAGGAAGGCGACTTGGATGAGGCCCCAGAAGGGACCCGAGGGAGAGAGTGCCGCCGTCCGTCCCCCTCCCCAATCCCCAACGCGTCTAACCCTCCTGGGGGTTCGGCAAAGACTGCGGGGCAGGAATGCCTCTGCAGGCCCGCTCCCCGTCCTCTTCCTCCCCCTGTGGGCCGGCTCCCTGGACGTCTGGGCCCAGGCCCGACCCTGGAAGGCTTGGGGAGGGTAGGGAAGTCCTGAGTCTCTGCGACGCGATGCCGGGGTGCAGAGGAAGGAGGAGGAGGGCTCCGCTCCCTCATCTCGCCCCGCCTTCAGAGACCTAACTCGGAGGTGAGGTTCGGTACTGGGTCTCGTCGACCCTATTGCTGGGAGAAAGCCTGGGGCACCCTGGAGGAGAGGGGAGGGGCTCGGGGTGGGTCTCCCCTCGGGACCCTATTGCTTGAAAGGGCCGACAAGGCCCCTGGCGGGCGGGGCGCGGCCGGACCCCTCCCCCTATTGCTGTGAGGAGGGGCCCGCCCTCCGGCTCCTCAGCGCTGGCGCCGGCGGAGACTTCCCTGGGGGCCCGTATTGCTGACAGCCGACCCGGCTGGCGACGGCCCCGCCGCCCTAGGCCTGCACCGGGCTGAG